TGTGTATATATATATATATATGTGTGTGTGTGTATAGACATGGAGGATATCGGTTGAGACTGAGATTAGACAGCTGTAAATGAATCATATTAATATATGTTTTCCTGTAGAAATACTCAAGTGTGTGTATGAGCTCTGTATTCACCTGTATATCCAGCTCTTGACAGCGTTGGGCTAACGCTTCCTTCTCTGATAGAAGTTCAGTGAGGTCCTCTAGGGCTTTTTTCAGCTGGACACATAACACACAAACAGCAGAATTAACTAACACATACATTCACGTAAATTGGTTCTACTGCAACACTCGGGACCGTTCTTTAAATGGTCACCTCCTCTTCATAGATGGACATTTTCAATTTTTACCCAACGTTAAGCCTGTTACACGGGATTCACCCCACCCTCCTCCTGCCTGTTCATGCAGCAGATGCCTAGAGTGCTGCACTGTGCAGTGAGAGTTAATATTTGAGAGCTCTGGGATTCTCTACACAGTCAGTGGTCATGCTCTTCTTCAAACAGATCCGTAGGAATAAATGTCTCAGTGACAAGCTGCTTAAGGTGAGTGCCACTCCTTTGAAATAGTAATGTTAACTTTAACTTGGACTGTGTGTTAGACTGATAACTTATGCGGTTAATACACTGAAGCTGAAACCAAAGTTAATAAACCAACTAACCTACAGAAAGTTAAACTATTCATCAATTTGCCTCCCAAAGGTGAGGATTTACTCAGTTGTTTGGCTTTTAAGACAAAATATAAACTATTTTAAATCTTTTGATGATTTATTGACCAAATATTTGACAGAAAAAATTACTTACACATTAATCATTACATTGTAATCATATTTTTTGTCTAACAAATTGGGCATAAAGACTTTATCTTCAAATGAATTTAGTTAAGAGTTTTACAGCAGCAAGTACCGGCTTTCTACCAAAAGAGCCTCTCTCTGTAGTAATAACACTGACCTGCTGTTCCAAGTCCCCTGACAGTTCAGCTCCAAGCGGGGCCATGATCTCTTTACTCATGAGCTGAGGAGGAAAAATGTGATTTATGTATTACACAGACTCATTAGAATAGCTGCAAAGCCACATCCAATTTTTCCCTGAACACAAGCATACCCTCTGCCCTCCCTCAACAACTACTGCTGCTGCCCTTTGAGACATTTTAAAGTTAAAGTTAGTAAAAAAGGTACAACAAACTTTCCTGGATATTGTTAATAACTCTAATCTGTGCAAGAGAGACACTTGGTATTAGGATGGACTGACCTCCTGGATGGCTGTCATGACAACATGCTGCACAGACTCCTCCAAGGTCATGATGATCTGAATGTATTCTGGCGATAGAATGAGAGAGATTCATCAACGACAAACACCGACTGAATTGTTGAATATTTTTCAGCATTTGTGTCCCACTTTTAAATGTAACACTGCCGTCATTGATTTCCCAGCCAGGCTGCCTGATGGTCTCTGCCTTTGTCAGTGGCTTGGCTGGGCAATAATTAAACATTGTTCGGCTTCACCTAACTGGATTTTAATGGAACAATTCCCTTTCTATCTACACAGAGTACTGGACATGTTTACTGTAGAGTATATGTTTGTGTCTAATATGGGAACATGTGTGTAACACAGAAGCAGCCACATACCTTGTTTCCGCTCACATCTGACAGCACAGCCCAGTATGAGTTGCAGCAGCCGCCCCAGTTCCACTGGGTCTGAATGCTCTGCCGCCAGAGCTAGATCTGGCAAGGGGAAGTCTGAGATTTCTTGGCCTAAGACCTGATGGTACAGAGTAACAGTGATAAAATATTTCAAGCAAGTGTTGATTTAGCAAAATAGATATAAAACATTGCTGTGCTTCAGTACTTTATGATGTACCAGGCTTCAGCTGCTTGATGCTTGTTTTGATCTCAACTGCACACTAGGCTCCTGGGACTCTGCGCAACGTAAACAGTGCACACGACGACTCCCACAAGAATCGAATGAACACACACAGTGCGACTCTCACATACAGCAGGTGTGTTTTCCAGTCACCTGACAACTGTGCAAACAAAAGGAGAATATAGAGTACATGGCCACTACCTACCTCATTATAATAATCAACCACCATCTGAAGGATCTTCTTCAGGTTGTTCATCTGAAAACACACAAGATTATTAGTTCTCTTGGTTCCCATTTTAAACTGAGATTCCCTTCAAACATAATCAGGGTTTCTGCAGGTTTCAACAGGTTCAATTTCAGACTTTTTAATTTAAGACCTATTCTATGTCCATACTGGCAAAAAAGGACAAAGGATACAAAGGAAAATTGGTATTGGCTCCTATACCGTTTTTTTTTTGTTGTTGTAGTCATTACAGCATGATCAATACAAGTTTTTCCCCAAAACACATTTAAAAGTGAGACTGGAAAATGCAACTTTATGCAAGTAACGTTAACTTCCTTAATACAATCAATTGGATCTGAATAATTTCAGATTATTGGATTTTACACTTTTTAAAACCCTGCAGACACCATGATATATGTTCATGCAATGACTAAATGAAGACTTCAAATGTACACAAACGACAATAAGCCTTTTTCACAGCAGCCATTTTGACTTGTCATAGTAGAAAAAGTTAATAACATAGCCCTTTAATAATAATAATAATAATAATAATAATAATAATAATAATAATAATAACAACAAAGATAGCTCTTTTCTACCAAGTGTCCCAGTAATGCTTAAACTGAAGCCCTCTAAATGGATTTCAGCCATCATTTTTTTTATCATTTCTACCTGTGCTTTTGCTACTGTGACATGTCAAAATGTCT